GGGGGGGGGGGGGTACTCACATGCCGGGCTCAACAGTCACCACCATCCCCGGGGCCAGCTTCTGGCCACGCGCACCCGAACTCGACGCCAGCGTCAGCGCCGCCTCTACCTCGTCAAGCGGCACGTTGTTTAGCAACCACCGCTCCTGCTGCTTCTCCTTCTCCGGCTTCGCGCCCTCCCACAACGCCGCGACCTCCCACGGCGTCAAACTCTCCCGCTTCGTCATCACCCGCCTCCTCAACCGATACCCGCGCCACGTCGACGCACCACAACCATAACCACCACCACTACCAGGACCACTACCAGGACCACCGTTCAACAACAGCCTCTCCGTCCCCGAAACATCATGCACCTCCAACCCGACATGATGGCCCAACCCATGCGGGAAAAACGCCGCCACCGTGCCCCGCGCCAGGATCTCCTCCTCCTCGCCGCGCAGAATCCCCAGCTTCAACAACCCCGTCACGGCCACGGCACAGGCGTGCGCGTGCAGCGCGGAGAAGCGCACGCCCGGCTTGATCTGCGCGATGCATTCGTCTTGCATCCGCTCGACGAGGCGGTAGATCTCGCGCGCGAGGGGGGTGAAGGATCCCGGGAGGGGGATGGTGCGCGTGATGTCGCTCGCGTAGCAGTGGACTTCGGCGCCGGCGTCGAGGATGAGGAGTTCTGTTAAGGAGGTGGGGTTAGTTGGTTTGGGGTGATGAGGGAGGGGGGGTGGGGGGTGGCGTACGGCGGTTCTTGAGGGATTGGTTGTTGTCGTCGTAGTGGAGGGTGCTGGCGTTGATGCCGGAGGCGGCGATCACTGGGTAGGACTGGATGGGGGCGCCGTGGGCGATACAGTAGCCCCTGAAGAGGGCGTCGATCTCACGCTCGTTGGTGAAGCGTTTGATGTTGCGCAGAACGGCTTTGTGGGCGGCGCTCTGGAGAGGAGTATTAGCGAGGTTGGGGATTGGGTTGGGGATTGGGTTAAGTTAGGTAAATGAGGTTGTGACTGGTGACTGGGGAGGGCCTACCGAAACGGCATTCGCCCGCCGGATCAGGGCAATCTCATAGTCGGTTTTGATGACTCGGGCTGCGTCCATGGCAGGCTTCAGACGGACAGCGTCGATTCGAATAAACTTTCCGAGGTGATCAAGCTCCGGGGGGATCTGGTCCGGGTGCAGCACGTGGATCGTTTGACCTCTCTTGAACACAGGGCATTGCTTTTCATGAAGAAAGTCAATGTAGTAAACGGAATCCACGTCCGAGGCGGCTTTGCATTCTTCTGGTGTTGGCACTTTTCCAAACCAGAGCACGGTCCGGGGTTCGATGCGCGGGATCCAGAGCACCAGCTTGTCCCTGAGTATGTCGTAGGTCACGGCACACCCAGGGAAATCGGCCCCGGTGATGTAATAGAAGCTAGATGGCTGTTAGATTGGAATAGTCCCATGTATCATTGAATCTGGGAGTGGCTTGCGCATACTATCTGCGTTGGCGAAAGGTGGGGCCCATATCTGAGTCCTCGTAGTACTTCTCATCCTGGCCGAGGAGGAAGATAATGCCATGGTCTGCTCCCAGCTCTCTGGCCACCTTCCGAGCATGTTCCTTTGCTAAAGGGGGAGATCAGTATCAAAATCAGAGGCTGAAGAGGATGGATAGATGCTTACCGGGAAACTTGCCCAATCCTTCCCGCCACGTCTCATGGAGCTGGGGGTCACATATGACGCCACTGGAATCCGATGAGGTTTTCTCGGTCGATAATGTCGATGGCGACAAGTTGGAAGAAGAGGGGCCAGACTTCAGCTCAATTGAACTGCGGGCAATAGCATCGTCATCACTAATTAGCAAACACGGTGGAACTCCAAATGCGACGCCATGACGGGAAGCAACCCACAGCGCATCGAATTCATCAATATTAACGAGATCATAGGACTCGTCGCAAAATTCCATATTTAATGCCGTTGTCGTCTTGTTCGAGTCCTTGTTTGGTGGTTATTTGTTGTTGTTGTTGTTGTTGTTGTTGCTGTTTGTTGTTTCAATGATTGGTGAGTACAGAGTGCCCTCTGTCCAATAGGCCGAGGTAAGGTGGTGAGCGAGTGGCTTAGTTGGACTTTGCGGTGTGGCTAATGAATGCGTGGCACTCACACGAAGACAAGAAGACACGAAAACTCGGAGACTCGCGCAAATAAAGAGGCGATTTTCTGATTTTGAAAATGAACTAGGTAGAAAGGTAAAGAAGGAGATCGGATTTTGAAGGAAAGAGCTTCGTCTGGTGTTTTTCAGGCTATGACATCACCAGAGATGGAACATTTTGTCAACATCTGATGACCCCTCAGCAGGGAGGCGCTGCGTGGGAAAAGAGTACAGGCGACTACTATACTGGATACAAATATATACCTATGTACCGAGATATGTTCGCTGCTATGTCTACCAGTATCTCCTCGAGCTGCACTCCTGACCGAGGTACTGTTTCTTCATTTTCGTTTTTCTTCTTCTTTTTTCTGTTTCTCCCCATTCCCTTTCTCCGCCCCCCGCCCCCGAAACTTCATGGACAAAATGCCCTGGTGTGCTGATTTCCCTCGCGTGCCGCTGGAGCTTGTCTCT